TCTATTATCACATTTACAGAATTATTCTTCATTAATTCTCTACAAGATTCCAGCAATGATGTATGAAAACTTTGTTTTTACAGAAAACACAAAATCTTCATCTCAGAGAACTGGAGGCCGATACAGTGCCTGTATGACCAGCTATGACTTGGAATTAAACTAGCACATAAAATGACAGAATAAAGCAGGACCATGATTAAATCACAAGAAGGAGGACTAGTAAATCTGAAATGCAATTTATTTTTTTCAATCCCTTTATGTGAATTTCTGGATTAATAGTGCTTCTGTACTACGTTTAGTTTCAATGTCTACAGCATACAATTCACAACTGCTGTTGGTCACCTACACAGTGAACAAACCCATTTTCACTGTGCCTTTTCAAAGTGTTTCTTGATCATGTCATTTATGTGTGATAGGTTTAACTCACATAGTGATCTTCATTTTTCCTAGCACTATGATAATGTTGCCTACCACCCTGGAACTAGGTCTCAATAGGAAATTTTGGTCAAAAGCTCTTCATTATAAAATTCCACTGGGAGAATCCCAGCAGACACTATAACTTTACCACCTCTCACCTACAACTGAACAAGGTTTATGTGCTGGCATCATCAGTGAGAGCTATAAACTCCAGAAGAATCCAGCTATACTTACTGCCCAGGGGAAAAAGAAAAATTATACACCCTTATTGTTTGTTACATGAAATCAGCAAGTATTTATATTTCACATTCTTAATACACACACAGTATATTCACATTTTGTTAAGCAAATGGAATACTGTCTCTATTTAATTTTCCCCAAAGTCTATACCTGATTATTCAAAGGTACACTTAAAATCTGGAAAGAAAAAAAAGTATTCATAAGGAGATTTTACTTTCACTTTGGTGATATGCTTCTGAGGCAGAAAAATTTGAATCCTGGATTCTGGATATTTGACACCAGGGACTATGGATATTTGAAATGATGTTTCAAATCTGATTTTTCAATGTTGTAATTAAATATTTGGTGTCTGCTGAATATCTGGTGTCTACTTTCAGCATTGTTCACAGAAAGAAAATCCACAGAATGGTTCTGAAGGAAATATACAAGAGAATTGATAAATGTAAAAATATTGAAAGGCAGTTAATCACATTATTTATATGAATTATTATTTAAGCAAGAACCAAAATAGTCCATGTCTGTCAGACAGAATTTTAAATAATAGAAGAAAGCTACATACGTATGATCTACACACATATCAATCCTACTTGTTTACAATTCAGCTTTACTTTTCCTTTTCAATCTATTCTAGCACCAAAGTCTTTTAGGTTTCCACAATGTGTGCACAGCAACAGTTGCCAGGATCCTCTTTCTGCTTGCACTAGCCAGAAGATTTTGGCCATCTACTTCAGCTACATGTTTGACAATGAGAATATTGCTTTAATAGCATCAGTGGACAAAACCTCTTCATTTGGAAAGATGCCAACATCAAACATTTCTTGGATATTTCAGCTAGACTGGCAGACTGCTCTTTATTTGCCAGTGTGGTAGGAGAATAAAATGCAGTTACATGCGCTCTGTGCCCTCTGCAGTATAATATAACATTTCTGGGTGACAGTCACAATCTATGCATTAGTAAGTAGTTTGGTCCCAACTACCCTTGGCACAATCTCTTTGCTTGCAAACCTAACAGAGGCTGAAAATGGGACATGTCTAGTGTGAATATGGGAAAAGCTACTACCTTCAAAATTAAGGCAGTGATTCAAAATCTTATTACAGCATGTCATACATACTGCAGTTACACTCTGAGCTATCATGCTCTGGTTTTCCCTTGCATCATTGTCTGCTTTTCCATATCCAAAATGTTCACAAATCTTCAACTCTTTCAAAGGGTAGATAACAGCAGGACAAAGGGAAATGATTTTAAGTTGACAGAGGGAAGATTTAGGTTAGATGTCAGGGGGAAGTTCTTACGAGAGTGGTGAGGTGCTGGAACAGGCTGCCCAGAGAGGTTGTGGATGCCCCGTCCCTGGAGGTGTTCAAGGCCAGGTTGGATGGGGCCCTGGGCATCCTGATCTAGCATTAAATGGGGAAGCTGGTGGCCCCGCCTATGGTGAGAGGAGTTGGAGATTCATGATCCTTGAGGTCCCTTCCAACACAGGCCATTCTGTGATTCTGTGAAATAATCTCATTAGCACAAATGTTCCCAGCAAAGATTTTGCGATAAGGAGTCCTGGACAACTTTCCCTTTGCAATAATTTGATTAGCAGTTTGCAACTTGAAAGGCTTTCATTTTCCAGTAAAACATCCAAGTAGATTCAGTTTGAGCACTGTCCTCTAAATCTGTGGAAAGTGTGTTGCTCACTGCCGTTTTTCTCATTTTTGTATCATTTTGCCTTTTTAGTTCTTGTCAGAATTGTCAGGCATGGTCTGTCTGATACTATAGGAAACAGAAAGTAAAAACCTTGAGTCCAACATAGACTGGGAGCTGTTCTTCTGACCAGACAAATAAGGAACAAAATTTTTGGCCATGGAATCTTACTTCTCATATATGACTACCTATTTACCCATCTTCTTTCTCTACAATGATTTATTGGTGCTATTTGCATCCTTTCATTCAAAACATTCATAAAATTATAAACTCTTATAGATGAAGAAATGACTGCAGAGGTACAGAACACTAATACTGATGATTTCCACCTATGTTAAGGTAATAAGCTACTAATGCACTTAATATATGTGATGTTCATAATCACCATGAATTTCATTAAAATAATTTGTAATATATCATTGATGCAGTCTTTTTTTTTCCTAGAAAACACAATGATTTGTATTACAGTTCATAAAAAACGTTAATGACTGAAATACTTGTCTGTCTCAAGCCTGATAGCACCTAACAGCTATAATTACAAAGGAAAAGCCCATTTACCAATCTCAGTATTGGACTTAATTAGCTTATTTCCACTATTTGGAACTTCCCCATTAGCCCATGATTTATGAAATGTTAATGAATGCTTTGGAAAGCTTTCTAACCAATGTTTTAAGATTACTATTTTTTTTTTTTTAAGGAAATGAATAATTTTTTATAGCATTGCCACGGTAATCATGAAAGAAGAAGAGAAAAATCTTTTAACAGATGGAGTATAATTTATATTAAAAAAAAATAAAAAGAATACTTTCAACTACTGATCCTTATACTTGAATTTCTTACTTTTTTTAGTATAGTCTTCTCTTTTCCAGAATTAGTGAGAACAAAAGACAGACTTCAGATGTGTCTTTGGACTATAGCTTGCATGAGAAATAACCTAGTCCATCTCCCTGATCTTCTCCATAGGATGTGTAGGTTATAATGAAAACAAACAGGCTTTTTCCTGCAGGTTGATGGGAAATATTTGGTTGATGACCAAAATCCAGGGTATGGGCCTGAATCAATTCTGAAACAGCCATTATGTAACAGCAAGGAAGTATAAAATGGACAGCTGTCTCCTATGTTCTTATTGACCAAAGAGTATTTCAACTGGTTGTAAGACCATTGGTGTTAAATAGCAGTTCTTGCAAGACTGAGAAACACTAAAAACTCACATTTGAAAGGATGATAATAAAAATCTGTTTAAAATTAGCTATCCAGAACTTCAATTGCTCCTGCAGGTTACTTCCAAAGGTGCTTGTTCACCTTCCCATGATTCCACATCACATCATTAATGCACAGAGGGAAGGTGCCAAACTTCCCCCCTTTCGAGTGCACTAGCAGAGTGCAGCTGCCTTAGGCAGGATGCACAGGGCTTCCTTCAGACTTCTGAGGAATGAACACCTCTTGTAAAATCTCCTTGCAATATTTACTCATGATTCTTTCATGTTGCTGTAAACACTACTACTACGAAATAATGGGAGGAAGAGGCGGAAGAGGAAGCAATAAATATTTATCATTAGTGTTGAGCAATAATTTCTAGATTACATTATCATGAGATGAGGCCTGCAAAAATTTAGTGGACAGAAATGCTTCAGGGAACACGAGTTAATAGCATCAGTTATAGATGTGAAGACAAAAGCAACCCATAAGATTGCTGCTGTAAATTACCATGAGTAACAAATCCCCTCAAGTGCATTGCTGTTCATTAATAATAATGCCTATACAGCAGACAATTTCTATTCAAAGGATGAGCCTTTGCAGTTTGGTCAGCAGAATTATGTTTAAAGTGATCTCCTGAAGAAAGTGCACGTCTCTTTCTCGTGCACTGAAAGCTATCTGCCAGCTCCTTCCTCCTGCTCTCACGAGATCACACAAATACACTCTTCTCCAGTTTCATCACTGGATCAGACTAGGAACAAAAACATTATCTGCACTCTATAAACTGTATAAGCAACTATGACATGTCTTCTATAAATCAGTATTTTGATTGAAAACTTGACAAAGCAAGCTCCTATTCCCAGCTTGACAACTGCTGGTTTCTGCAAAGAGAGTCTGCATTTGGGGTCTCTACAGCTGGGACCACTCCCTGCAGAGCAGCTCAGGCTGAGTGGACACAGCAGGCTTGACGTGTCACACTGCAGGGAGTGTTGCCTCCAAGGAATGGGGCTGATGGTTTCTGTCCTTTACTTGCTGAGGGAGTGCCTTCTGAAACAACCTTTGGGAATCAGTTGCTGAATTTCAAAAGCAAGCCTTCAGAGAGCACAAATGTGAACTTGAAAGAGCTTAATAGCCAAAAATCTCTCTAAATAAACTTCTCTAATAGCGAAAGGCCTCTTCAGATTCAGTTTCCAAAAACAACTGCATTAATGACCAGGTGCTTAGCTGATCAGTACAGTTTTTCCAGCATCTGGCTGTTATAGATCAATAGTTTCTGTATGTGTGTGAATTTTCTTCTAGGAAAATACTTGGAAATATGTCAGACCACTGAGGGTTCAAAATACAGCATTTAAAATAATTGTACATATTTAAATTGTTCTACAATAAATGCAATTGATTCATTAAGGCTGAAACTGCATGCATAATTGTAATGAGAATAAAATTGTTTGTGACCTACCTTGGAACTGCGTAAATTTGATGGTTCCCATCCTCTCTCCATTCCTGAAAACAACTTGACCCTAAATAAAATAAATAAATGACTTAAATGTTTTATAAATCTTAAAAAAAAATGTAGTTTAATTAGAACTGCAATTGTTTTCCATTCACTATTAAAATTACCCAAGAAGGTTTTAATATTGAGAACAGCAGATTCAACCCAGACTGAAGAAATTTATTAACATCTTAAAGCTTTCATCCACAAATTTCAAATGGCTTTACAAAGTTGACTATTGTTATCACTCACTGTTCAAGGTCAGAAATGGAGCCAGCAACTGATGACTGTATTTGTCTAGGATACCCTAAGAGTTATCAAGGATCATCTCAAAAAAGGATCTACATTTCATTCCTCATATGGATCTCCAAAAGGCTCTATAATTTATTTATATCAATGATTGTGGATACTAAAAGCATTTTATACTATACCAAGTTTCATGTCCAAGTAGTCTTGATAATTGTAATGTGTTTAAAACATAACGTGCTACCCTTCATGATGCTACATGTTGATATACTTCAAAATAATAGTCAATGGTCACACAATGCGGAAGCCTCCTCACATATGCCTAGCAAATTACTCCCATCCTTCACCCCATCTTTCTGACAAAATATCTTTTAAATTTTTGTCCCCACTTTGGCTATTCTGTGATGGAGTATGAAAGAGCAAGTTTTCAATCGTTTCAGAAATATTTTTAATATCTTAAACTTGCAGTGGAGTGCTGAGTGTGGTCATTGTAGACTGGAGTTTTATTCAACTCCTAGTTTGGATAATTATTATAATCTCCATTAATTTATTTTTTTAGCAGACATCAGGATAAAAGAAACCAAATGGTAAGCATCAGAGGCTACTATCCGTGCAAGTCCCTTTTTAGATTACTTCTGGTCACTAAGGATTCAAAACACAATCATCTTCAGTTTAAAGAAGAATGCAGTTAAAAAAAAGCGGTTTTTACCCTTGTTATAAAATCTGATCAAAACACTGATACAAAGTGATTGTATCATCTTACTGATATGAACTCAATTTGAATTTTAATAGTGGAAAGATTGTTCAGTCCCCTGCAAGGAACTATACCTACATGTGTGGTACTCTCTGCAGAACATGCATCCCATGTTCTCTGCTAATCACAGAACACTGTTCTCTTTCAGTAAATTCAGGAAGACATCCTATAGTAAGTATAATCTACCTTGTGCTAAGAATTAAAAGCCAAAAATTTCAGTCTATGACAGAAAGAGAGCAAGACAAATGAACATCGGTGATATAGATTCTCTCAACACCCACAGAAGGGCGCAAGAACTGCTCCTACTGAAGTTTGGCCAAAAATAAGGTTTATCCAGAGACTATTAAAACAGCTCAGGGAGGCAACGTAAAATATTAGCAAGCAGTTTGTGTGTGCATTTCAGCAGACTTATCCAGATCTCCCTTAGTTTGGAGTAGTATTTAATGTCCCTGGAGATGTTTGAACATAACCAAAATACTTGATTTAAATACGCAACAGTAGAAAATATTAAAGAAAAGTCTTGTAAAATGTGTTGTGCAAGTATCACTTGTTGCAGGTATCTACTGTCAACCCAGTCTCACACTCACTAAGTTCTGGTTCTGAAGCCTGAGACGGAGGATTCTATAGTTAATTTTTTTCCTGTGGGGATAAGTTATTTTTTTGATAAATTTTCCTGCCTTTTACTTTATCTCTGCTTATGCTTTCATTACAAGATTATGATACTGTAAACTGTACACTATTGGACTGCTCTTTCTAGATAGCAACCAGCAGGAATTAATGCTGTCATCCATGATGACTGTTATCTAAGACTACCATGTATTATTGACAATACAATATACCAGCTCATGGATGTTTCTGTATTCTTAGTGCAACTGGTTTGCTGTGTCATCCTTGCTTCTTGTAATACCACCCACATTGCCATTATTCAACAGGAGAGCCATATTTCATCTGTATCTACTGACTAGAGAAAAATATGTAGATCCTCATTGACTCATTTTGAAACTATCAAGGTAGATAAGGTCTGAATGTTCTTAATAAATTCAAAAATTTATAGAATACAAAGAAGAAATTATATTTTTATAAAAATTGAATGATTGAAAAATAAATATATGGATGATAGCGATGGCAGAGACACGGAACAATTCATGTAGATGTTGCCTTTATCTGCAATAATGTTCAATCACCTTCACTAAAGTTTACTGAATGTTAAAAAGTTAAAAAGTCGAATGTGTTATTAAAAGGCATAAAACTTTCTAAATAAAAATTTATGTTCTGACATTGTCCTGTTTATTGTTCATAAACTCAAGACTTATGTTAAACATCCAGATACAAGAAGAAAAAAAAAAATTGAAATTGGCTATTTATTCCACCTGTTATTTAACAAATAAACCTGTCCTCAGAGACATAATCAACAATAAACACATCAGCAAGAATCTTCTATGAAATCCCTAGTGTAACCCATGACAATGACAGCACCTATTTATTACCCATGCATCAAAAGTGCAACCACAACCATAGCTACTGCTTGGTTCTTGGCTCCTGAGCAACATACTGCTTCATAACAATGTGACAAGAAACGACAGCATTTCAAGTAGCTTAAACCCCTCAAGACTTTAAAATTGCAGTGAGCTTAGAGGGAAAGCACTCCAAGGTTTTTAGTGGAGCTTTAGGTAGCACCAAAAGACACTGAAATACTGTCTCTATTGTACTACTCAATTCTGCAATGTGGCAGAGAGGAGTACTCCTTAAGAATACTGAGGAATTATACAAATACCAGTACATTTATTTCACTTTTACAAATGTTAACTTAAAACAGCAATAAAAAACAAACCAAAAGAAGCATCTATTGAAAAAAAAAAATATATATATATATATTTTAATAATGGCTAAAACTAAAGAGTTAAACTGAAGGCAAAAAAAGGTAAATCAATAGAACAATAAAACATTTTATTTTATATTTCTTAATCTGATACAATGCCATAAAGAAACAAAACAACCAGTCTTTCAGAAATCTGTTTTGTAGAAATGACGGGCTGATTTATGGCATGAAAAGTGAGCTATAAGCTGATGTTCTTCTCTGGACCACATCAGGTCACTTCTTTGCCATCAAGATAACATGCCGTAAGAGTTAACTAGACAATTAACTTCTTCATACTTGAGGCCCCTTTAAAACACCGGGTGTCTGAACAGCAGCTATTCCTAAGATACAGTTAAAACTATAGCTTTACTAAAGCAAATCTTTGTATTCCCTCTTACTTTATTTTTATCTCATCACATACTTTCTACAAGTGCCAGCACATTTTGTGGTGTGACCCACCATAAGAACAAGAACTTGTGAAATCTGAGTGAGTGTGAGCAACCAGCCAAACTTCACCTTCCATCACATTTTGGTGACATTGCAATAGGTGGTGATTAGAAAAGATATCAGTGGTTGTACGGACGAGATGCTCAAGATGCTCTTTCTAAAAGGAAAGTAGACTGACTTCTTTGGAGCATGATTCTCAGATTCAAGCAGTATTTCCCACTCATGTAATTATTTTACTTCAAGAGATGCAAAATACAGTCTGTCCTTTACCATCATTTCAATCAACAAGAAAGTTAATTATGTTCACTTAGATCAAACCACATATTTTACTCCAATCTTTTCTTTTTTTTTTTTTAATATTTTTTTGAAGTAATTTCCTTTTGTAAATTGTAAATGTGATGCTTGAGTAAACACTAGTTGTACAACAACTCTGCCCAGCTCCGAGCTATGGGCAAGCATGTCTGCAACAGCAATTATCCCTGAAAGACAGGCAGGCAGGCGGGGAATAGGAAATGTAAGACTTGAATTCTGATAAAAAGTAATGAGAACAGAGGGTGGAATAGAAATTGAAGTAGTTCAGTCTGGCACAGAGTATTTGAAATACATTTCATTATTGCTAAAAGTTGTGCAAGTTTGTGGTTTTTTCTTCAGTTCTTTGTTTTATTTCACTTTTTTTTTTTGTGTGTGACATCACTGAATCCAGCTAGTTTTCTTCTAATATGTGACCTTTTTTTCCCAAAAAGTCAGTATTTTAAAATGCATTTCAAATGATGAAAAACAGAACTAGACCAAATATTTCAGTGTCATTAGTCTCACAATTGCCACATACAAGAACACCTTCCTTGTTTCTTCTGCACACTGCCTTCTTCTGTGTGCTTCATTTTTAAAAGCCTAGCACTGGTTTCTTTCCTACTTATGCACACTTCGTTATACAACATAACCACATTTCATCTCATTACTAAAATGACATCCCTAAATGTACAATCTTCTTTTTTTTTTTTCCTGGAGTTGATGCCTTTTTAAGCCATCAGTCCTTTATTTGTGGTCAAAATAAGAAGTGCACAACAATAATCCTCTCATAATCATAAAATATTATTCAACATTAGATTTATTTTAAACACATTGGACTTCCCCTGTCATTGTAGCACTGGAATTCATTTGTCTACTCTTGAAAGGAGCTGTTAAATGTGTTTTATTTTTTCTTGGTTGATATAAAGTAGTTATCTTTGCTATATTATGAACATATTAAGTTCCTTTCTAGCTAGGGAGCACTAGTATTTATTCAACTTTTCTTTACATTATTACTGACAATTTTACTGTTCTGCTGTGGATGTAGGTACATGCTGGTATTGAAATTCTTCCATTCCTCATACATTGAGATCCACAGCCAACACGTCTCATTCATGTCTTTAGCTTCCCTCGTTACTCCACAAAAGAAGAGTTCAGAAGAGTTCAGAACATTTGTAACTGCTCACTCAGTCAGGGACAGGTCTATACTACAACCATCCCTCCATTTATTCAGATTTATGTCTGCAAAGTGCCTGAAGCATGGCAAGCAGAGAAGTAAATAAACAGCATTTATTTCATGATTTTCCATTTCATGCCTACAAAAAAAAAAAAAAAAAACCAAAAAAACCCAACATCAACATAACAATTACATTAGATCATGCTTTTTTCAGTGTGCCAAAACCTTTTCTGGGTTCTGCTTCACTTTTTCTCCATT